TTTCAATTATAACCCTACCGTACACTTTTCCTGGTATACTCAGTAAGCTTATTCCTCTATAATTTTTACAGTCTCTTTTGTCCCCTTTCCCTTTATATAAAGGGACTATACACTGCTCTCTGCCAATCCTAGGTACCTTCCCCTCTTCATACATTTATTAAACAAAAGTACCAACCACTCCAACACTATATCCCCCCCTGCTTTTAACATTTCTGTCATGATCCCATCAGTTCCAGCTGCTTTACCCCCTTTCATTTTACGTAATGCCTCACGTACCTCCCCCACACTTACATTCTGCTCTTCTTCACTCCTAAAAGATGGTATACCTCCCTGACCAGTGCATGAAATTACTGCCTCTGTTTCTTCCTTAACATTTAAAAGTTCCTCAAAATATTCTCGCCATCTACCCAATACCTCCATCTCCCCATCTACTAACTCCCCTACTCTTTTTTTTAACTGACAAATCCATATTTTCCCTGGGCTTTCTTAACTTGTTTAACTCACTTCCAAAATTTTTTCTTATTTTCAATTAAAATTTTCTTGACAGTGCCTCTCCCACTCTATCATCTGCTCTCCTTTTGCACTCTCTCACCACTCTCTTTACCTTTCTTTTACTCTCCATATACTCTGCTCTTTTTATAAACACTTCTGCTTTGTAAAAACCTCTCATAAGCTACCTTTTTCTCTTTTATCACACCCTTTACTTCATCTTTCCCACCAATCACTCCTCTTTCCTCCTGCCCCCACCCTCCTATAACCACAAACTTCTGCCCCACATTCTAATACTGCATTTTTAAAACTATTCCAACCCTCTTCAACCCCCCACTACTCATCTTTGCACTAGCCCACCTTTCTGCCAATAGTCGCTTATATCTCACCCGAACTTCCTCCTCCCTTAGTTTATACACTTTCACCTCCCTCTTACTTGTTGTTGCCACCTTCCTCTTTTCCCATCTACCTCTTACTCTAACTGTAGCTACAACTAAATAATGATCCGATATATCAGTTGCCCCTCTATAAACATGTACATCCTGGAGCCTACCCATCAACCTTTTATCCACCAATACATAATCTAATAAACTACTTTCATTACGTGCTACATCATACCTTGTATATTTATTTATCCTCTTTTTCATAAAATATGTATTACTTATACCAAATTTCTTTCTACACATAGCTCAATTAAAGGCTCCCCATTTACATTTACCCCTGGCACCCCAAATTTACCTACTACTCCCTCCATAACATTTTTACCCACTTTAGCATAAAATCCCCAACCACCATTACTCTCACACTTGATTCAAAACTCCCCACGCATTCACTCAACATTTCCCAAAAATCTCTCTCTCTCCTCTACACTTCTCTCTTCTCCAGGTGCATACACGCTTATTATAACCCACTTTTCACATCCAATCTTTATTTTACTCCACATAATCCTTGAATTAATACATTTATAGTCCCTCTTTTCCTGCCATAGCTTATCCTTCAACATTATTGCTACTCCTTCTTTAGCTCTAACTCTATTTGAAACCCCTGACCTAATCCCATTTATTCCTCTCCATTGAAACTCTCCCCACCCCCTTCAGCTTTGTTTCACTTAAAGCCAGGACATCCAGCTTCTTCTCATTCATAACATCCACAATCATCTCTTTCTTATCATCTGCACAACATCCACGCACATTCAGACTTCCCACTATATATATATATATATAATATATTTATATATATATCTAGGTAGTAGGTTGGTAAACAGCAACCGCCCAGGGAGGTACTACCGTCCTGCCAAGTGAGTGTACAACGAAAGCCTGTAATTGTTTTACATGATAGTAGGATTGCTGGTGTCTTTTGTCTGTCTCATAAACATGCAAGATTTCAGGTATGTCTTGCTACTTCTACTTGCATTTAGGTCACACTACACATACATGTACAAGCATATATATACACACACCCCTCTGGGTTTTCTTCTATTTTCTTTCTAGTTCTTGTTCTTGTTTATTTCCTCTTACCTCCATGGGGAAGTGGAACAGAATTCTTCCTCTGTAAGCCATGCGTGTTGTAAGAGGCGACTAAAATTCCGGGAGCAAGGGGCTAGTAACCCCTTCTCCTGTATATATTACTAAATTTAAAAAGAGAAACTTTAGTTTTTTCTTTTGGGCCACCCCACCTCAGTGGGATACGGCTAGTACGTTGAAAGAAAGATATAATATATATATATAATAATATATATATATATATATATATATATATATATATATATATATATATATATATATATATACACATGTAAATAATATATATAATATAATAATATATTTATATATATATATATATATATATATATATATATATATATATATATATATATATATATATATATATATATACAGTGGAACCTCTACTTGCGAGCATGTCCACGTGCGAGTTTTTCCAGATACGAGCAGTCGATGGGTCGATTTTTTGCTTCCATACGCGAGCAAAATTTCCACAAGCGAGCAGACCTCAAGGCAGGTTCCTTGACACTGGTGAGGGGCTCTTGCTCTTGATCTCGGGAATTGTATCTCATTTGTTTGTTGAACTATCTTATTGAAACTTGGGGAATGTATGATGGAAAGATGCTTCTTAATGTACACCAAAAATGAAAGAAATCTAAGCATAAATAATGGAGTTCACTTCTCAGCAATTAGCCACCCCTTAGTGGTATTTTCGTATGGTTTTTATGGTTGTATTCTCGTTTTTTTTGGTCTCATTTGATAGAATGGAAGATATATTACAGAAATAGATATGATTTTGATTGCTTTCTTGACAAAAAGTGCCTTGAAATAGAGCTCAACCTAGGATAAATGGTCCATTGCTTGGCTGTTTCATTGTAAACAAATGACGTCACTGTCCATTCCAATATGTAGTCGTGAATGAGTTGACATTATTTATACAATTATTCCAATAAGGAATAACAGTAAATCTTATATTTTTTGTGTGAATAAAAATTACAAATAATTTATATAATAATAATAATAATAATAATAATAATAATAATAATAATAATAATAATGATAACAATGATAATAATAATAATAATATGTATAATAATAATAATATGAATAATAACAATACGTATAATAATAATAATAATAATACAATAATAATAATAATAATATAATATGTATGATAATAATACATATATAATAATAATGTACTACATATAATAGTTATCTGTTTACATTAATGTTTTATCACTGATTTCATCATTGCTTAGTAGCAGCGCTGTATAGTCCTTGTGGCTTAGCGCTTCTTTTTGATTATAATAATAATAATAATCATTGCTTAGTTAATCTTAAGTTAATTTTAAGCCAGCCCGTAATGCTATGCATAGTATAAGTGGCTTTGGCATACTGCTCTTATCTGTATTTTTTTGTACCTCTGTATGTGTGCACAAATTGGAAATAAATAAATAAATAAATAAATAAATAAATAATAATAGATGGCTTCAAAAGGCCGTCACTAGATGGCAGTGTTTACCACAACAAAGAGGGAGCGGTTGTGGCCACCTCCATTTGTTACATAATGACATATTTTATTCATTCTAGAGCATATATCGTGTTTCTATGTTATTTATATTGTCTGTTATGTCATATTAGATGAACTGTGATATATAAATAAGCCGTATAGATGATATTAGCGAAATTATTCATGAATTTTGCCCGGTGTCCAGACAAACTCTTGTCCACCGCCGACACCACCCATACCACTACATGAATGACACATTTTATTCATTCTAGAGTATATATCAGGTTTCTATGTTATTTATATTGCTTATTATGTCACATTAGATGAAGTGAAATAGATAAATAAGCCGTAGAGTTGGTATTAGTGAATTTATTAAGTACAGAATTCCACTGGAACGGATTAATTGCATTTCAGTTAATTTAAATGAGGAAAATTGACTCTGCAAACGAGCAAATCCAGTTGCGAGCAAGGTCATGGAACGGATTAAACTCGCAAGTAGAGGTTCCACTGTATTTATATACATGTATGTAGGGTGGTCAAAAAATAAAGCACATTCTCTATAGGTCATTCAGTCCCTGTCTTGCCAGAAGTATGCTGGCATTGCAATTCAGATGCCCCTTTATCTGCAAAATCCACACCCCTTCTTTAGTTTGTAGGCACTGCCTTTCCCACCTCTAGGACTCATGAATATTCCTTCCTCACATTCCAACAGCATGTCCATTAAAAACCACTTGTCTTCACTTACCCTGATTAAACCTGCTCACACAGACCTGCTTGATACTCAAGCCCTTAACACTCAGAACATTTTTTTTTTAATCTCCAGATGTTCCTGGGTTGACTCCTACCTCTCCTTCCTTCCATCCCATATTTAAACACCTTTTTTTATTGTCCCATGTCTCTCCATCATCTAAATGCCCAAAATATATAACAACCCCTTCTCAGCCCTCCCATCTAATATCTTCCCTCTTTTATTTTTAATCAAATTCAATTTTTTATATCTTTGCAAAGTTTACAATGTGTCTGATTTAAGTATGTATTATAAAATATTGTTAAGCACAAAGAATGCCACTAGCATGCCTGAGCATTTCGGGCAGACTTATCCTAATACTTACAGACTACTTAAAACTAGACATAGGTTATAGAGTAGTAAATTTTAATTATTCAGTCAGGAAATCTATTTTACTCTCCAGCTTTTCTTAACTTATTAATCTCTCTCTCCATAACTGTTTTCTATTCTTAGCAAAATTTGCTGATAAAGACACTAATTCTCTCATTGGCTCTTCTTTTGCATTTTCTCACCACTCATTCTACCTCACCTCAACATACTGTATTCTTTGCTTTTGTATATAATTTTTGCACTGTTAAGAACCTCTGGACTACTATCTCTTTCTCCCTTATCACCTTCTCTGCATCATCATTCCACCAGTCATTCTTAACACTCAGACTCATGATTTTTTTCAAGTAATAAATAATATCACATTCATTTTCAATTTCAGAGGCGATGAACCACCACCGCTACCAAAAACACCGTTTGAGGTAATTGTAATATTTAAGTTAGAAATTTTAATGAGTGTTGAGAAGCATTGCTATTTATAGTATATGTGAATACAAACAGGTATTATTGGCTATGGTTTTATTTACCAGAAATAAGCTGTCAGATACAGTTTGCCTCATGGGGTTTTAAGCAAATCTTATACTGTATCTCTAAAATAATTTAATCTTTTGAAGTAGGAGTATGAAATTTGGCTAAATTAGTTTCAGCTACTTTGAAAATAAAATTTTATTGAATCTCATGGTATTTTTCTTATTTGTCTGGTAACATATAATGTAAAAAAAAAAAAAAGCAATATTATCTGTCTGTTGCTATTTTGCCTATTTACATGTATTTGTTAAAAAAAATTTTAAGCTGGTTTCCCTGACCATTCTTCAGATTTTATTTTGATTTTGATTTATATATACATGTATTCAGTATTTTCATAGTTTGTAAACTACAATACCTTATTGATGAATTTTTGTTCAAATTTTATTTAATTCATGAATTTTGTCAATCAAGGGCTTTCTGCAAACGGGCTATTGGAAAGCCACCTGAAATATGATGCATCTTGATAAACAGTGGTAGATCTATGGATTGGACTACCGAAGGAAGCAGTGAGTTCTACAAACACTACAAACATTTGAAAACTTCACTGTGGACCTGATACTGAATAAGCGATACCTTAAACTCACATTAGCTGTACTATTGTACCTGGAGTTTACCTGGAGAGGGTTTCAAAGGTCATTGCCCCTGCAGCCCGGTCTGAGACCAGGTCTCATGGTGGATCAGGGTCTGATCAACCAGGCTGTTACTGCTGGCTGCACGCAAGCTGACATACGAACCACAGCCCGGTTGGTCAGGTACTGACTTTAGGTGCCTGTCCAGTGCCTTCTTGAAGACAGCCAGGGGTCTATTGGTAATCCCCCTTATGTATGCTGGGAGGCAGTTAAACAGTCTTGGGCCCTGGAAACTTATTGTGTTGTCTCTCAGGGTACTCTTGGCACCCCTGCTTTTCATTGGGGAATGTTGCATCTCCTGCTGAGTCTTTTGCTTTCATATGGAGTGATTTTCTTGTGTGGGTTTGGTACCAATCCCTCCAGGACCTTCCAAGTGTATATTATCATGTATCTCTCTTGCCTATATTCGAGGGAATACAGATTAAGGACCTTCAACCGTTCCCAGTGGTTTAGGTGCCTTATCGCACTTATGTGTGCTGTGAAAGTTCTTTGTACACTCTCCAGGTCTGCAATGTTGCCAGCCTCGAAGGGGGCAGTTAGCATACAGCGGTATTCCAGCCTAGAGAGAACAAGTGATTTGAAGAGAATCATCATGGGCTTGGCGTCCCTAGGTTTGAAGGTTAGTAAGTAAGTAAGTTTATTCAGGTATACACAAATACAGTTACATAGAATTATCATACATAGCAGCATATGTATAGAGAACCTAGGATAACCCAAAAAAGTCAGACAGAGTGACTTATTTCCATTGGGTTCTCATTATCCATCCTATCATTTTCCTAGCGGATGAGGTAGATATATTGTTGTGGTCTTTGAAGGCGAGATCGTCTGACATTATCACTGCCAGGTCCTTCACATTACTTTTCCGCTCTATTGTATGGTTAGAATTTGTGGTATACCCTGACACATTTTTAATTTCTTCAAGTTTTCCAAATCTGAGTAGTTGAAATTTCCCCTCATTGAACTTCATATTGTTTTGAATGGCCCATTCGAAGATTTGGTTGATATCCGTTTTGAGTCTCACAGTATCTTCGATGGAGGTCACCGCCATGATGATCCAGGTGTCATCCGCAAAGGAAGACAACGGAGCTATGGCTTACATCTCTGTCTATGTCAGAAATGAGGATGAGGAATAGAATGGGAGCAAGTACTGTGCCTTGTGGAACAGAGCTTTTTACCCTGGCTGCCTGGGACTTTACCCTGTTTACTATTACTCTTTGTGTTCTATTTGTCAGGAAGTTGTAGATCCATCTACCAACTTTTCCCGTTATTCCTTTATCCCGCATTTTGTGTGCTATTACACGATGGTCACACTTGTCGAAGGTTTTTGCAAAGTCTGTGTGTACTACATCTGTATTTTGTTTATCCTCTACAGCATCCAGGACCTTGTCATAGTGGTCCAGTAGCTGGGACAGGCAGGAGTGACTTGCTCTAAACTCGTGTTGCCCTGGGTTGTGTAACTGATGGTTATCTAGGTGGTTCGCTATCTTGCTTCTTAGAACCCTCTAAAAGATTTTTGTTATAGGATGTTAGTCCTGTCGGTCTGTAGTTCTTTGCAATTGCTTTACTGCTGCCTTTGTGGAGTGGGGCTATGTCTGTTGTTTTTAGTGTGTGTGGGATGACCCCCGTGTCCATGCGCCCTCTCTATAAAATGCTGAAGGCACGCGATAGGGACTTCTTGCAATTCTTGATGAACATGGAGTTCCACGAGTCTGGGCCTGGGGCAGAGTGCATGGGCATGTCATTAATTGCCTTTTCAAAATCTTGTGGAGTTAGAATAAAATCCGAGAGTTTTGGGATGACCAAATTTTGGGTTTCGCTCATAAAGAATTCATTTGGATTGTCGACCCTTAGAGTGAGCAGTGGATCATTGAACACTGAGTCATATTGGGACTTTAGCATCTCACTCATTTCTTGGCTATCATCTGTGTATGTCCCATCCTGCCTAAGCAGGGCCCCAATATTGGATGTTGCTTTTCCCTTAGATTTGGCATAAGAGAAGAAGTATTTTTTTTTTTTTTCAATTTCCTTTATGGCTTTTAGTTCTTCCTGTGATTCTTGGCTCCTGTAAGATTCCTTCAGCTTAAGTTCATTATTTGCAATTTCATTGACTAGTGCTTCCCTTCGTATTTCAGACATATTGACCCCACTCAGCAGCTCTGTGACTCTTCGCCTTCATCTGTATAGGGAACGTCTCTCTCTTTCTAGTTTACATCATCTCTTTCTTTTTCTTAATGGAATGTCTTGAGCAGATCTCAAGAATCACAGAATTCATTTTTTCAAGGCAGATGTTCGGATCCGTGTTGTTTAGGATATCTTCCCAGCTTGTTTCATTTAGGACATGGTTTACTTGATCCCATTGTATGTTTTAGTTATTGAAATTGAATTTCGTGAAGAGACGTTCATGACTGCTCACATTTTGCTGGTCTGGAGCATACATGTCAGTACCTCTATTATGTTGTGATGTGAGTGAATTGTCTTTCGTATGGTATTTATGTTTTTTCTCGTTTTCTTGGTCTCATTTGATAGAATGGAAGATATATTACAGAAATAGAGATGACTTTGATTGGTTTTCAGAATAAAAATACCTTGAAATTGAGCTCAAAATCGCAGAAATTTTTGCAGATGTTCAAGAGTAAACAAATCATGCCACGTGTCCAATACACGTCTAACTGGTGAGAGTGAAATTCTTTCACAAGTGCAGTGATATTATTTATATCATTTTTACAATAATGCAGTAGTCTGCATAACAGACTACAGAATAAAAATTCAAGCTACTAATATTCAAACCTACTAATACACCTACCATCTGACTTACGACCTGCTCGACTTACGACCACTCTACTTACGACCGTGTTTTTTATGCCAAATTTCTGGGAAATAAACAACTATTTGTGTTGTACACAGTGTTTATCCTAAACCTTACAGTATAAAATACAGTACAGTACTAGCAACATAAAAAGTAAAGTAAGACATGAAATACCAAAATAAAACAATAAAATAAAGTCATTACAAAAATGTTTTGTTGATATTCAGTAGTAAAGTTCGACTTACGACCATTTCGACTTACGACCGGTTTCTTGGAACCGAACTTGGTCGTAAGTCGGATGGTAGGTGTATTCGCAGTATTTACAAACAGGTACTCACCCTATACAATACCCACATCTAGCTCTGATAGTGACTTACTTCTGTTAACCCTTTCAGAGTCGGTTCCTTATATGTATGGCTTGGTAGCCAGTGTCGGTCCCGTATTTATACGCCAAAATAATAGTGCCTTGAAATCTGGTGGAAGAAAGCTGGTAGGCCTACATATGAAAGAATGGGTCTGCATGGTCAGTGTGCGCAGTATAAAAAAAATCCCGCAGCGCACAGTGCATAATGAAAAAAAAGAAAACTGACCGTATTTTTGGTTTAAAACAGCAACTTTGCAGTGTATTTTCGTATGGTATTTATGATTTTATTCTCGTTTTCTTGGTCTCATTTAATAGAATGGAAGATATATTACAGACTAAAAATACCTTGAAATTGAGCTCAAAATGGCAGAAATGTTCGATTTTTGCCGATGTTCAAGAGTAAACAAATCATGCCACGTGTCCAATACACGTTAACTGGTGAGTCTAATATTCTTTCACAAGTGCACTGATTTATTTATATCATTTTTACAATAATGCAGTAGTCTGCATAACAGTAAATCTTCTATTTTTTTTGAGAATAAAAATTCGAAATGGAAAGCAAGCATAATATAAGAGGGGCCTGGAGCTGTGACTAATGAACAGAGAAAATGTTATTTTAGTGCCAGGAATGTCTGTCTTGTTTATTCTGGACCCTATTTTGAAATTGGCATCTTTTGAAATTTGGTTGAAATTGGCCAAATTGCCAATTTCTGATTACCTTATTGGGTAGTTGAAATCGGTAAATGGGTAGTTTCTTGTGCTCAATCGATGGAACAGATGGAGTTCTAGTAAAATAGCTATGATTTTAGTCAACTGGAATGATGCACTAGGGATCGAAGTGGGTGAAATCGCCGATGCTTTTAAATATCATCGATATCACTAATTTTGCGAGAGTGTAATTTTGTATGTTTTCCATCAAATTTCTTACTTTTGGTGTCATTACCATTAGAAAAAGATTCTCTATCATTTAATAAGAAAAATAATTTTTTTTTTTTTTTTTTTTTGAAAATTTTTCGACCTTGAGAGTGAGTTAAGGATCAGGGGTCTCGACCCTCAAAGGGTTAAGGCCCTCATTTTCATGGGCACCTCATTCAT